TATCGAATTTGTCGACAGTTGAACTTACATAGGAAGTAATACCGAATCTCCCCGACCAAAATAAAGCCATGTTAGAAGTCAATATCAAAGTCGAACAAGGTTCTTACAAGAACTATCATAGCAGATGCAGACAAGTTACTCTGAATCTGAGTTCCACAACTAAACCAGGCTCAGTTAGAACTCAATTTTAAGGATGGATACGAACTCAGTGAAAATGGCCATTTCTTAAAGCATAAACAGTACGAGGTTGGAAAAAAAAAAACAGCAATAATTCAAATATATAGCATGTTCTTAATTCCTATATATATTAAATCTTTACTAAAACAAACGTTAGTAGTGCAAGAACAGAGCTTTTTTTTTTTCTTTACCGAATACCCTTTTCACATTTCATTGCATCTTGAAAACCCTAAATTCAAAACTCTGAAGAAGCAATCGAAATTCAAAATCAAGATTGACCCATTAAAATTGACACCATATCAATAAAAGGGTTGTCTTCAGAAATTTAAAAGGTAAATTAATTTCAATTGATACATACATACCTCCGGTGATTGTTCTTCCTCTGCATCCCTGTTCAAATTGCTATCTTCAGACATTGAATCAGATGTACACGAAGGATCTTGGTTAGAGCTATCTAATCCGGCAGCCTCGCCGGAGAAAGATTCACCGTTTTCAACACTCGCCGCCTCCACCGCCGCCGCCGCCGCGGCGGAACTATCTGGCACTTGAATGGTCTTGCCAAAAAGCTTTATCTTGGGGTCTTTAAATTCAGACATTTTACCTCAACTAGAAAAACCAAAGTACAACAAACAAAGAAAAAACAATAGAAGATCTGACACGCACTGAGAGTGTAACTGCGTGTTCTTTTTTCCACCTCTTTAAAGGCTTATATGGGGTTCTGCGTGGATGTATTGTATGTATGTGTGTATGTATATGTGTGCTCTGAATTCTGATGAAATACACTGTCGTTCGGACAATGGTGAGTGTGTGTGTGTGTGAGAGAGAGAGAGAGAGAGAGATGGATCTGAAAAGGTGTAATGTTGAACTGCCACGTCAGAAAAGGAGATGAATTCTGAGCCACAAATTGTATGTGGCCTTGAGATCTTGTGCTCCACCTTTTTCTTTTACTAAATTTATTTATTTATTATTCGGTGCTGAAAACTGAAAAGTGGACTGACTCACCACTTTTTAGCCAACTTTTTCTCTCTCTCTCTCTTTCTAAAAAGATTATATCCTTTTCCAGACTTTTGAATTTTCCTTTTAATTTATTTTTTCCTTTTCTGTGGATAACAAAAAGCCATTTGTTTAAAGTGAATAAAAAATAAATTAAAGTGTGGTACCTTAAGCCAACCCCCCATTCATACGTGTAGAATCAGCTAGCCATTTTTTTTATTTTACTCTTTTTTCCTTTTTGTAACAATTTTTCAAAAATCCCTAGCCAATAAATCATTTGCATTTAACACCTTTGATAGGTTTAATTGATCTTAATCATTTTACTTATCAGAGCTAATGTTTACTTAATCATTTTATTTGTTAGGTGGGTTTCAAAAACTTTTAGAAACAACTTCTAATCTTTTTTTTTAGATTTTTGTAAAATCAATTTATGTTTTCGTTTAACTTAAAACAAGCTGCTTCAAGCTATTTTATAAAAAAAACATCCATGCACCGAATTTTTTTATTTAAATTGATTTTTTAGCGTATTAAAAAAATCGTGAAATGGTTTGTATTTAATTGTATAATTACAATGTGCATGAACTTACAATTCTAGTGGAAGGGGTTTTTGGAATATCAATCTTTCATTGGTTTTTTCCAAGTGAACATTATAATTTATATATATATATATATATATATATATATATATATATATATATATATATATATATATATATATATATATATATATATATATATATATATATATATATATATATATATATATATATATATATATATATATATATATATATATATATATATATTTTTTGTGCACGCGCG